TTCGCCCATTTATGCCGAGTGCTGTCCGTTGTTGTTGTTGTTGTGGTTGTTGCTGTTGGCGAGCCGGAATCTTCATCACCTTCCTCTGTTTCCTCTATGCACACCTGAAGTCCTATCTTTTCTGAATGCTTCCTCTGCCAACTTGTTGCTTTTCGCTTGCATATTATCTATCCAGTTTGTGGCAAATGAGATAAATATCATCGGCAAAGTCTAGATCCTCCATAAATTATTCGAATTACCAACAGACATTGTGGGGTGATAAAACTCGTTAGAATATGGATAACCTGAAGAGCTATGACATCAAAACCATGGAAAGTTTACAAACTCACGTGTAGAAGCTGTGATGCCGGTATTTTCAAAAATACCCAGCTGCTTAGATGAGTAATTATGTATGCTTGATAGTTGGATCATAAAACGCAGATCCAGACAGCTAAACTATATGTTTTGATAACCTCATCAGGTTCTGCAGTCAAATATGTCCATAATACTAGAAATAATAAGTGTTATTAACAAGATTGATACTCTTTAAATATCGTCTAGTCATTAACATCAGTAGATTACAGTGGGTGTGATAATATGTACAGATGTAACAGTAAAATGAATATCGAATAAGTTTATTAATAATAACAATCTACTTTATTCCAAAAACAGCACTAATTATAATACAGAATAGAATTCTCAGCACTTGTCACAACACCTTACATCTGATTTACTCAAAATATAAATAAAATTAAAAATTAAAACAGAATTAACCAGAGGAATTTGTCCACGTTTACGATATGAAGTCAAAAATATTCAAAGTACGAACTGAGAATATTAAACGTATTAATAATTATACGAAGAGTGCGTTTCTTTCAAACAGTATTGTCGATTCAGTTTGTAAATTTTAGCATGTTATTATAGAAGCATTGAGTCTAATGTTCTGTTGATATAGCAGCATGGTGAGGGGAAATACAAAATTAACAGTTAAAACACGGCTTAAATGATGTTTACACCTACGAAAAATAAACAAATAAAAACAAAAAATTGAGAGGATTATAAATATAAGAAGAAAAACAGCAATGAAGCTTGATATTATTAGGGTGGAGGAAAATGATTTCTTTAGTAGTGCAAAGAAGGTTAGTTAGTTAGTTAGTTAGTTAGTTAGTTAGTTAGTTAGTTAGTTAGTTAGTTAGTTAGTTAGTTAGTTAGTTAGTTAGTTAGTTAGTTAGTTAGTTAGTTAGTTAGTTAGTTAGTTAGTTAGTTAGTTAGTTAGTTAGTTAGTTAGTTAGTTAGTTAGTTAGTTAGTTAGTTAGTTAGTTAGTTAGTTAGTTAGTTAGTTAGTTAGTTAGTTAGTTAGTTAGTTAGTTAGTTAGTTAGTTAGTTAGTTAGTTAGTTAGTTAGTTAGTTAGTTAGTTAGTTAGTTAGTTAGTTAGTTAGTTAGTTAGTTAGTTAGTTAGTTAGTTAGTTAGTTAGTTAGTTAGTTAGTTAGTTAGTTAGTTAGTTAGTTAGTTAGTTAGTTAGTTAGTTAGTTAGTTAGTTAGTTAGTTAGTTAGTTAGTTAGTTAGTTAGTTAGTTAGTTAGTTAGTTAGTTAGTTAGTTAGTTAGTTAGTTAGTTAGTTAGTTAGTTAGTTAGTTAGTTAGTTAGTTAGTTAGTTAGTTAGTTAGTTAGTTAGTTAGTTAGTTAGTTAGTTAGTTAGTTAGTTAGTTAGTTAGTTAGTTAGTTAGTTAGTTAGTTAGTTAGTTAGTTAGTTAGTTAGTTAGTTAGTTAGTTAGTTAGTTAGTTAGTTAGTTAGTTAGTTAGTTAGTTAGTTAGTTAGTTAGTTAGTTAGTTAGTTAGTTAGTTAGTTAGTTAGTTAGTTAGTTAGTTAGTTAGTTAGTTAGTTAGTTAGTTAGTTAGTTAGTTAGTTAGTTAGTTAGTTAGTTAGTTAGTTAGTTAGTTAGTTAGTTAGTTAGTTAGTTAGTTAGTTAGTTAGTTAGTTAGTTAGTTAGTTAGTTAGTTAGTTAGTTAGTTAGTTAGTTAGTTAGTTAGTTAGTTAGTTAGTTAGTTAGTTAGTTAGTTAGTTAGTTAGTTAGTTAGTTAGTTAGTTAGTTAGTTAGTTAGTTAGTTAGTTAGTTAGTTAGTTAGTTAGTTAGTTAGTTAGTTAGTTAGTTAGTTAGTTAGTTAGTTAGTTAGTTAGTTAGTTAGTGCGTGCCGTGAAATATGGTAAAGTCGAACTTTTATACTTAGACCTACGTGCACAAAGTCTTCTGAAATCACTTCTTGTTTTACCTGAAGAGACACAAGGTTAGAGCTTCGGGTGCTGTGGTGGATTCTCACAGTCTGACAAAATTCCTTAAGCGAATTTGTTGCATGACATCAAGTGGCGGTCGTCAGTGATGATGTCAACGATATGGCCCCCAATGGGAAACCACTCGTCCTACTGACAGTCTTCAGAGTTCTACGAAGTATGACATAGTCTTTTTCAACCAATCCAGGAGAGAATAGACAGGGGTGAATAGTAAAGAAGAATAAGTAAGATGCACGAGTTGACAAACTGTAGGAGGAGGAGGGGTTGGGTTATGCCTGAGTGCCTCAATTTCCCAATGTAAAAAGTCAGACGAAATATTCTTCTAGAAATCGCTAATACATGGGAAGACCAGGATAGGTCAGAAGAAAGAGTTAATCCAAGATACTTAACTTCACACTTGGTTTCTATATCAGTGTCATCAATTTTGCAGGGGTCATAGGAAACAACGGCTTCATTTAACTTTCTTTTACTCACATCGGAAACTGAAATTAACAGTCTGACATTTGGAAGGATTTAGTTTAAGGCCGTTACACGAAGACCATTTGCTAATTCCTGATAGAAAGCTGTTCATCTCAATACAGTCTAGTCTAGCTGGGAGTTAACAGACATTGAAATAGTTAGATCTTCGGAATACTTAACAAAGTTCATTTCATCATCAGAGTGATGCAAGTCATGCAAGAAGAAAGAAAACAGAAAAGGAGAAAGGACAGCACCTTGAGGGACACCAGCCTCAGTAAGCAACGAAGTCGACGACTTTCCCTGACTGATATACAGTGTACTGGTTTCTTCCTGAGAAATAAGAATGCAGCCATTTGACATTTGTCGGTGGCACAGTGGTTAGGACTCTCACCGACCATGCGCATGGTCCGGGGTTCGAACCCACGCCGACACACACCCGATATCTATGGTCGGCCTGCGAAATTCGGGCTACCGATATCCACGCTGAAAATTCCATACTTGTACCAAAAATACGGTGTGTAATCAAGCTGTAATAAAAATAAAAAAACCCAACAGTCAGTTCGAGTTGCAGCCTGTTTAACAAAATGTCCCTAGGTACTGAGTCGAAAGCAGATATGTAATCAAGGAAGGTGCAGCGAACAAATTTAACCCCCTTGTCTTAGCTGGAGACAATGTTATGGTACACGACTGCAGCTGAATCCAAAGTACTTCTGCTGTGTTTATAATCGAATTGTTTGGGGTCATTAAAGGCTTTAAGTGAAGGTTAAAGATTAAGCAAGAGTAACTTTTCCATAGCTTTTGGAAAAGTTTAAGTAATAACAATAGGTCTAAATTTAAAACACGTTCCAGTAGATGACTTAGGGATAAATACAATTTTGATGTCCTTCCAAACGGCTGGAACGATATTTCTAGGAAAAAGATTCGTTAAATATGTCCATGAGAGGATAACACAGGATGTCTGCACACTTTTTAAGAATAACACTAGGCAAACCATCTGGACCTAGGCTACAAGAAAGGTTCAGAGACTGGAGACATTTTAGAACATCATTTGTATTGAAGTCAGGGAAGCAGGTTTCATCAACACTTGTAACACTAGAAAGCTTGGCATTTGTGGGAGAGTATATGAAAGACTTGTTAAGTGTGCAAACATCAAAGGAATAAGGAATACTATTCATCTGCTTACCACCAGTAATTTTTTTTGAAAAGTTTCCATATATTTTAGACACATTTTTACAGGATATAAATTTTTGGTTTATTTTTCCAAGTTAGGGAAAATAATCGGTTCGCTAGCATAAGCTTAAATTACTATACTTACAGGAATCGCATAAATAAAAGGCATAACTCCATTATAGATAAAATTTTATTTTGATAAACAGTCATACAGTGTAGTGTTTGTTATACAGTAATATTAACTGATGACCTCACGTTTCGACCACAAACTATTGCCACTCATAATCATATGAAGGACTTGATATTGTGATTTATCAAAATAAAATCTTATCCATAGTGGAGTTATGCTCGGCCACTACAGAGACCAAGTTTTATACTAATATCAAGGCTGAAGACAGTCGGTGATATGACTAGCTGAAAATCGTTCTCGGTGATGGTTGACGTAGATACATCCACTCCTTGTGACTTATAATTTCCAATAAAAAAACTATATTGTTCTTCGTTATTACTATTGCTTTTGTCTGATTTCTCTGTCTACTGTCTCTATTTGCTCATTTATTCTACTTTTTTGTCTTGCTTTGTGTGCTGCTGCATGGAGGGTAGTGGCGATTTTAACTGGTGCATATCAGTGCAAAGTTCTACGTCGAACAAAGACAGACATATGGGAGAATATATTTCGTTCCCTGATATCCATTTGTGATCTAGCTAGAAACATACCAAATTTGTACAAATCAACTCTTAAATACTTATTAAATGATTATAGGCTATTTGTAAAGAGAGAGAGTGTGTGTGTGTTTCATCTTTATTAAGTGATATATGCAAGATAACAGACAATGTGGTGTTGTACACTTATTATTAATTAGTTACTTGGTTACTTAGTAAGTCTGTTTGTATTACCTTCTCATAATTTTAAGAAATCCTGTATTCATGTCACATTATGAAGCATCGTCCAGTTGGCAAGAACTACAACCACAAGATAGACGATTATTTCAACTGAATTCAACACCGTCATCACCATCGTCGGCTCTATCTTGACTATTAACTGGACCAAATTCTATCACCAATGACTTGAATGTACAGAATCCCTATGTACTCAGTACAATGCCTAACACCTCTAACATCACTGAATCTACATCAATTACTATAACAACAACAACAACAACTTCTGATTTGTTAAGAAGTCCTGCAAAATGCGTGTGCACTAACACACCTTCCGCCCCCTCTTCGTCTACTTCGACGTCTTCTTCTGTGAGATCATTGTCTTTAAAAGTCAATCACAACATAGTGAACAACAATGAATTACAATCTCAAATGAATGCATTTCCAGTTGTATCTGTTCAAAATACTGCAAAAAACGCAATACCGGTAAGTCATATACATATTATGTATGTGTAATCACCTTGAGTTTTTGCTAGGAGAGCAATAATATTATGAGTTATCTGACTTCTTGCCGGGAAGTTAAAAAACCAAGTAAGTCAGGCAGTCAACGCATCTAGCGAGACAGCCAAACACCACTACAATCCTGCTTATCTTTAGGCCAGGAGTAATCGATGCACTCCAGTCAAGTTCAGTCCAGTCCTGCAGCCTCGTCATTTTACATTTGATAGCAGCAGGAAAGCGTTGATCACATGGCGCATACATTCGAAGATTTCTGCTCGAATTCAAGGTGTTCAGAATACTCCGTTCTATTTTGTCAGCGTCTTCACATCGAAGTAGTGACTGTGTCATCTTCAGCATATTCTAAGTCAATGAGACAATTATTCCCTGGTGGTAACAAGTCAGTCCTTGAGTCGCTCAACTCAGTTAGGATGAGGTCCATTAGCATATGCATCTATGCTTAAACTGAACAGAACTGGGAACAGTTGGTTGGTTGCAAGACTGAATTCGGATGAGAAATTCGAGTGTTTTTGGGTGAATGAGTGGATGCATTCTAAATAATGTCGACACGCATAAGTGGAAATTATACGCCGTCAGAACACAATAGGAATGTATTACTAACTTCTGGTATTCAGTCAATTACGAAAGATGACGTTACCCTAGCGGGAAGTGGGGTGTATGAATTAGTATGTCTTAGTAACGTATTTACAAACAGTAAATCACATGGTCAAACGAAACGCCTACATCCACCCGAATAACACATGTACAGATAACACACACACACACACGAAAACGTAAACAACTTGAATCCGATGATAACACTTTAGAACACTGTAAATTATAGAACAAAACCTTTTATTCAAGTATAATAGATAACATAGTTAGACATGGAACAGAAATCTTTGTGTTTTTTCCAAATAGTTCAAAAAATGAAGAACCTGTTCAAACAAACTTGATCCATTAGCGTCTAAATAAATAAATTAGGCAAATATCATATTAGCATGACCTACTTACCTTCTCCTAAATATGTTTCGAATCGGATTCACCACGTCACGGTATCTATTCCGAACATATGTGAAGCACAAAACGAATATACACAGCAAATAAATCAAGCGTATCCACCAGAACACAGACTGCGCGAACATTAATGGCATTTTGAAAAAATGATTCATTCTGCACTCCATTCGTATTTATCATTTTATTTTTCATGAGCACAGCTCACATCATAGTTGTAAGTAAAATTATCCAATAATAAGAGGGGGGCAGTATAGTGATCACAACTCACATTTATTGATTTGTCTAGAAGGCAGAATTAAATCTACTCACAATGGGCAACTGTTATAAAATCAACAGCTAATATGACTAATACATTTATCACCCATAATGAATTGGTTATTCAGCTAAGATATGTGTTAATTGCATGACATCGATTCCTTATGTATTTCATTATTCAGATTGCATACAGCTAGCTACAGAAACAAAAATCTTCATACAATTGCAGTACAGATTGAGTGACAAGGTCATCTAATCCCCTCCCTATACATCAGCGTACATACATCTCACTTTGATTAGACACTAGTAACAAGTGTGCTGTGTCTAGTCCTTTGCTTGATGTAGACTGGATTCTGTCAGTCAATGAGGTTTGCAATGTGGCCACCATGCCACTAGGAGGCTGGCTGTCCATCACGATGCACAACAGGGTGGGAGTGGGTTAAAATTCTAAGAAGTAATCTATGTACATGGAGAAAGAGAGAGAGGTTGATTACTGAATCCGGCCTGGTTCATCGAGTATACACACAACACATGCAACAGAAATGATTCAACGGAGATACCACAGATATGCAAGATATTATTACCACCAGTCAAATCAGAGGAGGATAATAAATAATCTTAAATTGCATTCTACTTCAATTCAATTAACGTACATCATCATAACAGTCTAACAAGTTATTTATTTCTTTTGTCTATAAAAACACTCGTCTTATTTCCCATATGATTGTAATTGATCAATAACATTCATATTATTATTATTATTTCAGAATGTACATTATCCTATATTACTGATTTGTATTCAAATGTCTAATCATCAGTTCCATTCATGTATATAAATGAAGGAAAGAGTTGTGTGAGTAACTTGATATGATTATGAGCAATAGTTTGTGTTCGAAACGTGGTCATCAGTTAATATTATCGTGTAACACTGTGTGACAGCTTATCAAAATAAAATCTTATACATAATGGAGTTATACTCGGCCACCACAGTGCCCAAGTTTATACATTTTATACTTATATCAATAAATGGCATAATATAATACAGCATTTATGAATTTATCGATTTCACAGCTGGTCTGTTTTGTACATAAAGTTCCAGTTGTTCGGCTTCTGTTGTTTACAGAATTTGATATTTCATTGCTTCAGTCATTTTATTGGGTGCACGACACAGACGATGGAATAGGACTCTGTGAATACTGACTTTCTGGTCCGCTTCTGGATCAGGTGTTCTAATATCAGACTGTTGATGGTGCTTACTACAGCCACACTGGGAGTGGTTTCCAGTGAGTGTATCGACCAAAATAATAACTGCCTGCACAGGGGTACTTAAACTGATAGATAGATTGAGAGATAGATAGACAATAAGAAAAGGCGTGACTAGAGTAGGCACTTCGTCTTTCTGTTTCGGAATCAATACCAAGTCTATAGAGAATATAAACCCGATGAAGTGAATAGTAGTTACCGAAAAGAATATTCTCTGTTCACTGAGTGATCGTTTGAAATTTATGATAGGCATTGCTTAATTGATTGAAACATGCCAGGAGTTAGTCTGATACAAAAAAGAAAGACAAAGTAAAACAACTGCAAACTATCAACTCTACATGCAATTAAAAGAATAGATGAATAGTAGTAATAAATAATTTTTAATAGACGATGAGGCCTTCGACAGACAGCGTTGACCGCGAAGTAATTTGGAAACTACTCGAGTAATACGGCGTACCCCAAATATTCATCAACCTTATTCGACAGTTGTACGACAACGGCACATGTCAAGTCATCCACAACGGAAAACTCAGAGAGGCGTCTGGAGAAAGCGCAAGAGTCAGACAAGGGTGCTTGCTTATTATCACCCACGATGATATCCCCAATTGTGGTGGACTGGATTATGCGTCAGACAGTGGCAGACGAGAAGACAGCGAGGGCTATCCTCGACCGACGTGAAGAACCTAGAAGACCTGGATTTCGCGTGTGGATGATTTTTGTTTGATGCCACACAAAATTGAAGAATTAGAGGCAAACGAAAACCGACAAACTGGTCAAAGAAGCAGCTGACGAAGACACGACTCCAGGTGAATATAGGTGAACAAGACGGAGGTTATGAAAATAACCAACCAACCGACCAACAACTACAACAACAACATCCAGCGCCAATCACCATCAACGGGAGCGATTCGAAACAGGTTACACTTCATTCACTTACTTATCTAAGGAGGGAGCATTGTCTCAACTACACGAAGTCGGAACGGACGAGGATGTCAAATCGAGCGAGAATTGGGTGTCGGGGGGGGGCGAAAAACGCATTCACTCATCAACCTGAAACAACCAATCTGGAAACTAATCTTCGTCACTCAGCCAGTATCAACAACAAAATTCCGTCGGTCGGATTTTCAATACAAACACGTCAAGTCAGTCAGTTCTTTTATACGGATGAGAAACTTGGCGGGTGGGTCACAAAGAATATTTCCACCAACAGCCTGTTGCAGACCTTACCTTTATCGACAACTAACTGCCTTTGCTAGATCTATACTGAAGATCAGATGGCCTTGGGGCCGGAAGGAATCACCTACAAGAAACTACAGTAAGAAACAAAACAAGAACCAATCGCCCACCAACAGCAAATATGCAGGAGAAAGTGGAGATGGATTGGACACTCACTGAGGAGGCCGCCGCTGTGTGACATCGCGTGCGCTTCAGTTCATTGCTCGAGTGGTACCCGATAGGGAAGCAGGCGGCGAGTGGGCCATCAGTGCAAGGGTGACATGGAGGAGATCGTGTGAAGAGGAGTTGAAACAGTATGGACTGAGATGGATGCAGGTGAAAAGTACAGCAGAAGGAAGACAGAAGCAAGTGGAGACATGCAGCTGAAGCGATATGTTCCACTAGAGATTAAAGGGAGCAATAATTATAATAATATTAATAATAATAGACGACGAGTTACGCGATCCAAATATCCGAGAACTTGAAACAGACAGCTGAAACTCTGAATGTTTGGTTCTGTTCTGAAAAAAATTCACCCGTTCCATTGTTGTAGGTCAGAGTATAATTGCATGTATTAAGCACAGAATTGCTACAGTTATCCGCGTATTATGCCTGACCAAGGTAACTAGAGTTGATTTAAGGAGCCATTCACAATTTTAACGTCTCAAGGTAAGCACTTCGACTTACACAGCCTAATCTCTGAGAAAACGACTTGACACTACTGACAAGATCAACAGCTACTGACTTGGTAATTAATTATAGACATTAGTTCCCAAGATAACCAAACATGCTCATCACAACCTACTTCGAGACGAGAAGCGCATACATTATCAGCCTGTGGCCCTCTCTGCTTCCTCAATATGGACCATTCACACCATCAATACAAGCATAAATGTATATTTCATACATTTATTCCCCCTTTAATGAATTTGAACAAAGCAAGAACTACAGTTTTTGCAGAATAAAGTGGTACTATCAGTGTTTATTTCGTTGCCTTCACGTCAGCTGCTTACAGGCCACTGTCATTATTAAATATATCTACAAAAACGGTTTTAACATACCTGCACAGAGTTCATTTTCAACAAAAACCAATCAATCAATAAATGCATACAGTAACAATATATATATGTAATATTAAGCACTATTCCCAACAATAATAATCATACACAATGGAAAATTTTAGGCATTTCGCATTCAGGTGAAAGAGAGATGAAAAATATCCAGTTACCAGGCAAGGCAAAGAAAGGTTGATAACCGCTTCTTTCTGGACGCATAAATCAGGTTTCAAGCGCTTGATGGAAATGGCTTCAGCAAACTTGAAGAGAATTGAGCTCTTTTGCCTATTGATAATTTTGAACGACTTTTCGACGTCCACCTCACGGCCGACCCGTGTCGAGGAGATGCCTGGCGATGGATGGCACTGTTTAAAGCATTTGTTCCCAGCTGTAGTCATAAGCTTTTTGGTACATGTTCAGAAAATCATAGATATGCCCTTCTGCCTTCTGTCCTTCCAATGTAACTGCTCCCGCAGACACATGTAAATTTGTATATACAGTTGGAGTTGTTAACATCAGAAGGATATCTATCGATTTTTGATTGCATCAGAGAAGAGCAAGTTGTTCGATAAAAGAAAACCAACTTAGCTGCAGGATAGGCTATGACTAGTGATGTACTCAGCCTTCTGTTGATCATAGTGATATGTATCCACATGATGTGTGTTTTGTTTTTGACAGTCTATTATATTTTGATGTGTATATGGATCGATATTTCATTATAACTGACAAGATGCTTTTGTCTGTCCACTAACTGAATAAACATTTATGACCTTGGTGTCACATGACATTGCAACCAATCATGTTAAGACTGTCTATTTATTGGTTCATGTGTATTAGTCATTTTCATATATACTTTTGTACTATATATTTGTTCATTCTTGTTCCCACAAAGTTTCGAACACTACGTACCATTTCACTCACACTCTTGTGTGACATTTATTTTCCTTGTCTAGGAAAATACAAGTATCATCGTAAACCTGGTGGTCTTCTGATTTCCCTCTTTCCGCGTCAGGACTATTAACTACTCGACGAGTACATAACACATAGCTGCAATGTTTTCACCTTTATAATCAAGCTGAATGTAGATTGCCTTTTTACCTAGTGAGATTTGTTTCACACTTGTGACTTCAGATCTTCCATGCTGCTTGATGAACTTTTGAGGGTACCCACTGCTCTTCAATATCTTTTCAAGAAACTCAAATTCTTTCTCTAATTTCTCTATAGAGCATATTCTCCATCTCGCTCTATAGTACAGAGTCTCGACTAGTCCGCGTTTAAAGCTATTTGGACAAAAACTATTAAAATGTAAGTATTGTCCTTTCCATGTAGGCTTTCGATAAATCGACTTTTGAAGACTATCTACCGTCTTCTAGGCGTACCATGGCAATGTCGAGGAAGTGAAACTTTCCGTCACTTTCATGTCTCATAATACACTCAATATTAGTGTGTGCATCATTTAAATAATCTAAGTAAGTGTGAAGCATGACTTTGATTGTTGCACACTATAAATGTGTCATCAACATGTCGACAGTAGGAAGTTGTTTCGTCAACTGCATGCTTCAACTTTGTTCTTTCAAAGTTGGACATGCATATATATCTGCTAAAACACGGTTAAGTGGACTGCCCATAAATGTATATAGGTAAGTACAGTTAGCTCTGATCAATGTTGACAGCTTTTGAAATGCTCATGTCTGTTATATTTCTACTGTTGTTGTCACCAGCGAATCAGCTTTTATTCAACCGTTCTTCTTGTACGAGCTTCACATCCAAATCCACAGATAAGAGGGTTGTAAAACACAAGAATAAATGACAATAAGAAACTTTACACTGTGACATGATTTCATAACTCTTTTTCCTTGAATTTGTTTCCCTCCATTATGGATAAGATTTCACTCTGATAAATCACACAGTTTAGTGTTATACAGTAATATTAACCGATGACCACGTTTCAAGCACAAAATTTATTATTGCCACTCATAATCATGTCAAGTCACTCAATCACTCACTCATACAACTTTCTTATTTCCTTCATTTATATACATGAGTGGAATTGATGATTAGACATTTGAATACAAATCAGTAATATAGGATAATGTACATTCAGAAATAATAATAATATGAGTGCAATTGCGCGCGATATTTTTTTATTTTTATTTTTGATTACAGCTTGATTCCACACTGTATTTTTGGTACAAGGATGGAATTTTCACCATGGATATCGGTAGCCCAAATTTTGCAGGCCGACCATAGATAACAGGTGAGCGTCGGCAGGGAATCGAACCTCGGACCATGTGCATGGTCGGCGAGAGTCCTAACCACTGTGCCACCGATGGCCTCGTCAATGTATGCCCGATCAATCCACCTCCATTTTCGCCTACATATTTGTTGAGCAATCGGCTCTTGCTTGTTGGCTGGTTCACAGCCAGGGTTTCTTGTCACTCACTAATTCTTTCTGACAGACCGGCTTGCCATTGGATCTTCAGTATGAAGCCAGTCAGCGAAGGTGGCAGCTGTTGATGAGTCTGTCTGTCGTGTAGACTGTTGGAAATCCTCTTCGTTACACTGGTCAAGTTTCTGACCCATATAGAAGAACCGACTTCACATTGGTGTTGAAGTACCAAAGGTAAAACAGGACAGTTTTAAAAGTGAAGGTAGAAACAGTGCAGACAAGAAGTTATTTGCTCCTAAAGCAACTTATCTACCATACACGTTAAGGCTTTCGGTTGACAACCCAATGGCAGTCCTGGGCGAATTTAATCTCAGAGACTTGAGGACATTCTTGTAGTCTCTTTGGGAAAGTAGGGTAAACTTTTTGACTTTGATTACTATACGAGTTGTTTTTAAAAAATGAGCTGTATTACATTCTGAGAAGAGAAAAAAACTTCATTAAGGATAAGATTTCACTCTGATGAACTGTCAAACAGTGTAGTGTTGCTATACAGTAATATTGACTGATGACCACGTTTCGAGCACAAAATTTATTATTGCCACTCATAATCATGTCAAGTCACTCAATCACTCACTCATACAACTTTCTTGTTTCCTTCATTTATATGCATGAGTGGAATTGATGATTAGACATTTGAATACAAATCAGTAATATAGGATAATGTACATTCAGAAATAATAATAATATCAATATGAGTGTTATGAGTGATCAATTACAAGAATCAGATGGGAAATAAGACGAGTGTTTTTCTTTTATAGTCAAAATACGTGGGTAACTTGTTAGAATGTTGTGATGATCTACGTGAATTGAAATGGAATACAATTTAAGGTTATTTATTATCTTCCTCTAATTTCAGTGACTGACTGACTGGTGGTGATAATATCTTCCATGGATATTTCTGGTATTTGCATTGAGTCATTTCCATTGCATGTGTTGAGTTTTGACTGGATGAACAAGGATTCAGTTATCAATCTCTCTCTCCACCTACCTAGACTACTGCTTAGAATCTTAACCCTCTCCCACCATGCTATTGTGTGGTTTTGTGTTAATGCATGTAGTGCAAAGTAGTTCTGAGCTGCTTTTCTAAATTACTTATCTTTTGGGGTGGGGTCAACTATTCTGACCTTGGCTAAATTCTTATTTTCCGACAATCAGACCACTCTCGAACTACTAGTTTGACCTATGTAGTTGACTTAACTAGCAGTCATTGCAGGGTATTTTGTAAATTATGTTGTTTCGTCTAACTGAGTCCACCGACAGATTCCTTTAACTTAGACTATAGAGCTTGTCCTACCTGAGTGAGTGAGTTTGTAGATTTGAATGCCACCCTGATACCTGCTTTGTTATTAAGAATCCTGCGTAGGCAGTGTCTCAGATATCCCCTTCCTCCCTATATGGTATAACAGTGGATGACTTATATTCTCTCTTATTTATGTTATCATTACTAGTTTCACAATTATTTTGCTTTTGTATTCTTTTCTAATGTAGTTTGATTATATTCTGATTGTCTGTCTCCTATTGGTCGATTTAAATCTAAATTTCAATTGGTCCAAAAATCAGCTTTTTATTTACATGCTGAAAAAGTAGTACATCACTTTATATCTTCGGACATCAATTACGCTTGATCATGATTTTCTCTCGACTGCCTTTAATTGCTTTGCGTAAGGCAAAATTTCCACTACGTGAAGCTCATTCAAAATCTGCATGTGAAAAGCGAGGAATGCTAAAATGGGCATGTCAAAACTATCCGGTTGTCTATCTTGCAGGATTAATCTTTGGAGCTGTTTCCTCTATAACACTTTACACAATAAGATGTTTACTGCAGAATCCTGATCTGTTCATTCCATTCTATGATAAGGTTCCGCGTGATGAATACTACTTTGATAAACATTATTTTGGTGCACAACAACCAGAAAATATGGATGTCGTCCCACCAGTTCGAATGCATCATAACGGAGTTCTAGAGTTTCCATATGAAGAGCACAGGAAGTATGTACATCCTCCTGAAGAATAATGCAGTTGTATTCTCTTCGTTTTAATTAATATTCTCTGTGTTTTGTTTCACATTGGACATATTGCTTTGACTAATGAACACGAAGAAGGTTAGTCATTACTATTGTCAGTTGAATTTCTCACAATATATATATATATATATATATATATATATATATATATATATATATTCTACATCTTAGCATAGTTCAAAGACAATAAATTATTGTTTTTATTTTTAAGAATTCATTTTTGTTCTCTCTGACTTTATTCCTCTCTTATAAACGAAATAAGAGCACTCGATGGAGATGGGAAAAAACCGTCTACTTTCGTTGATACTCTTTCCGCATTATTATTATTATTATTATTGCCAAGTTGTTCTGTAGTTGTACTATGCACACTGGCAAAAGATAATCACTTCGTTTACCAACAGGATACACTGAAACCAAGGCAGGCTTTTATAGCTGTCTAAATAAACAACTTCTATAAGGCTGCCTAGATATATCTTTTGTGTAGTGTTCAAACAACGTAGTAGAGTTTTGACTATGACTTTATAACCCTGAGTAACGAGTGTTATCAGGTGGTCGGTCGTAATTGACAAAATAACCACTGATGAAAATAATGCTTTTAGAGGCAATTATTATTACTCTACCATGAACAGCAGAATGATTCTTGGTGAAGAATTCGATTTAATGCTTGCTTTGGTTAACACTGGTGAGAAATCACACACTTGTCTAGATAAAATATTAACTGGCTTCATGACAAAAAGGGGTGGGCCCTCGATTCCTTAGCGGGTCGTGAGTTCAAGCCGCTGAAGAGTCCTTAGCTAGGAAGAAATAGCCGTGCAGTGTTTCCTGATTTTCAGTGACTCTCTAATTCATTTTGGTTCATGACAAAAAGTCTACGCTGCAGCTGATCCGAATTCCTACAAAACCCATAGTCTAGACATTTATTTAATACAAGCGTCAGTTTAGGGCTTTTTATTTAAACAAAACTCTACGAGGCTGTTTTTCGTCTTTTGCTTCCTCCAACGAAGAGATACATCTAAATGTGATTATCTGTAATAAACCGTTGTCGAAATATCATTCAGTAAATACTATCTAGTACCTTCTTTCTATATCAAATTAATCGCTTAACATCAGACTATTCACCCTTAGAGTTTGCTACTGATTAAGATACGCTAATGGCATATTACAATCTGAATAAGAGAAGTATCGAAAGACGTCACTGACTTAGTATGTCTGTAATTCTGTGAGTTATGTGGATGCCAACGCTTTCATTGCGATTAATAAATCTACAGTTGATTGAAAGAAATATCATCCAAATTTTGAAATTAACAGTAAGTGATTACATAGGCTATTAAAAAAAACATTCCTAGACGAAATATGTTACTATTATCTATTACTTTCGTAACGGTCAGCCTCCATAATTGAAAATTAGGGCGAACTGCATTTCCTTGCACATAACGTAAAGCGCAAGTCTTTTAGTGGATTTTTACATTCTTTGTGGGCTGTCTGACTGAACTACGAAGCTTTCGTTGTCCTTCTGGAGAAGATTAGCGCAGGCTTTAGTATAAAGTGGACTTGTTTGACTTTTCTGTGAGCTAAATAATTGTATCAACCATTATTGTCTCAATGTTCTCTCATGTATATAAACGACGCTTCAAAAATACTTATAATCAAATGTATTACCATAGTACAATTTTTACCTTCAGTTATTATATTTCTCTTCAAACAGAATGCTGGAGAAACCTAATATTCTAGTGCGTTTCGTTTGTGAAAAGAAATATCAGTATTACCCGCAGTAGAATCAGTCGACCGTTAACTGATTTTTAATCATGAAATGTGTATCAGTGCATGTGAATTCACATCTGAGTTTCTTCATACCAATTACTTTTTAGTGAATTCAAATTTCCTGCAGTTTCAGATGCACGACTGACATTTCTACTACAACAGGCTTTTTTTATTGACGTCGTTTGATAATATTATTGTATAAAGGAATCAATATTTGTAAAAATTCTAGCAGACTACTTAATATTACTTCTGCCTGCCTAACGTTCGATAGCAAGCGGACAGAGTTGTCGATAAGTAAGTATGTTTGCCTCTTTTTTCAGACACATGATATTAACGTAGAAAAAGCAATTTATATTTTTCATATCTCGATAAAGTGAGACGTAATAAACATTTCGATTTTGAAATTCCCTGCCTAAATGTTTACCTGAAACTTATAAGAATGCGTGGGTGGGTGGGTGGGTGAATGCTATAGTTTTATTAATGTATTATGAGGGCTAGAAAAATGCTGCCGACATAGGAGATGAGTAGCATCATGATTCGTTGTTACATTTAATCTAGTATGAAACGAATTTAGGCAGCCTCTTGATATGTGGACTCAAGCTATTAAAGATATATATTGTAATGTCGTCTTTAGAGCAGAAAAATTGACAGCGATCTCATATATATATATATATATATATATATATTCCACCTGTGTTTAACTTGTTACGGTTATCAGCCATCACTTTCTTGAATTCCTATGAATGTTTCATTATGACTGTAACTCAAACAATGGATATATATTAGCACTAGAATGGATTGTTTGTATTGTAAGTAGTCATTTGGTTGTTTTATTGCAAATTCTTGAAATAATTGGCGGGAATTTAAACTCATACTTTGTTAAGTTTGAGATCGTTGGTTTTATGACAAGAATGTCACCAGCTGTATTCTTTGCTGTTGACATGTTTGATATAAATTACACACAAAAAATAGTCCCCTTAATATTTCTTCCATCGAGGTTTAAATTCTATTCAATGTAATTCTTGCATAATGCTTGCTATTTCCTATCTCCATGCTCATTTGGGTATAGATATCTACTTTTCAACCGAGAATTTTCACGCCTTTTATACCTGAAGATTGATCATTTTTATTGAACGCATAATGGGTTTAATCTTCGTTCAATTTGCTTTTCTTTTTCTAAATGTGTAAATGAGAATTTTTAAATTTAGACAGGAAATGCATAATGCGACTAATATACTTTTAGCTTCACGACAGGGAGTGAGATTATGTGTACATTGATGACATTAATACGAAGCTGTGTCATATTATATGCACTGATGAAAAAATTGCTGACGTAAAAAGCTGGTGCCTTTAAACTATATAGCAGCCCAAAACGAAACTACCTAATAAAGACCTTGACAAATTTCTGTCGACCAATCAGACGCGTCCGAAGCAGAAGTGCGTAATCTGAAGAAGACAATTATATAAAAGTAATGCAGCGTTAAAAGTAATTACTCAGAATAACTTGCTTGTATATGTTCCAGGAAAAGCTTTCAATTTCTAAATAGGAGTCCATAGGTCAAACCAATTTCTGTGAGTAAATTCATTGAGATAACTGTGTATCATCATGTTTCTTGAAGCATTCACGGTTCTGATCCTCTTTTTTGGATGACTATAGAAAGTTTCAATGGAATTTGTGTGGCTCCCATAGAAAGGATAAATGAAATCATCCTTACTATTGACCATGTCATCAATACAGAACAGGGATGACAGTTGGCTAAACATTTTCTTCGTTCCAAAGGGCCTGTGGTCTATGTAGAACTTAGTAACTAGATTTAGATGATGAAATAAAACAGATAGGAGTAGCGTTGGTATCAAATAGCTAACTATCCTATAAAATTCATTAGGAAGATCAGTAAAGGCCAAAGAAAAATCGAAAAATAATTGTGAAACTGGTAATGATAACATGAATAAGAGAGAATATAAGTTATCTACTTTTATACCATATAAGGAGGGGACATCTGAGACACTCCCTACGTAGGATTCTTAATAACAAAGCAGGAATTAGTGAGGTGGTGGCATTTAAACCTACAAACTCACTCAGGTGGAACAAGCTCTGTGGGGAGGCTAAAGGACCCTGTTGGTTGACCCAATTAGACAAAATAATATTATTTACTAAATACCTTGCAATGACTGTGAGTTACGTCAACTTTATAGGTCACACCAGTAGATCGGGGGTAGTCAGATTGTCAGAACATAAGAATTTAGCTAAGGTAAGAATGGTTGACCCCACCTGAGAAGACAAGTAATTTAGAAATAAGCTCAGCGATTGCACTACATACCTTAACACGCAACCACAAAATATCATGGTGGGAGACGGTTAAAATTCTAAGTAGTAATATGTGCAGGTAGAGAGAAGGAGATTTATTAGTGAATCCTGTCTAGATAATCGAGTCTACACTCAACACGTGTAACAGGAATGACACATCATCACAATTACCAGAGATATGCAAAATATTATTACCACCAGTCAATCAGTAAAATCAGAGGAGAATAATAAATAATCTTAAATTGTATTCTATTTCAATTCAACTCACGTACATCATCACAACATTCTAACAAGTTACTCGCTTATTTTGACTGTAAAACAAAAACACTCGTCTTATCTCCCATCTTACTATTGCATTTGATCAATAGCACTCATATTATTATTTCTGAATGTACATTATTCTATATTACTGATTGGTATTCAAATGTCTAACCATTAATTCCATACATGTATATAAATGAAGTAAAAAGGTTGTGTGACTGAGTGACTTGATATGATTATGAGTGGCAATAATAAATTGTGCTCGAAACGTGGTCATCAGTTAATATTAGTGTATAACAAACACTGTGTGACTTATCAGAATAAAATTTCACCTATAATGCAGTTATACTCGGCCACCACAGTGTCCAATTTGTATTACTTATATCAAATTGTGCAATACTCAACTGGACAAAGGAAGAATGAGTTAAAAATTCGATTAGGTTAAAACTGCGCTTGAGTGAGATAAAGGTAGTTGAATGTCAGTTTGACAAGTGTAAAGAGGGTGAGGAAACATCAAAAAAATGAACATATGAACATAATAGCGAATTAATTATTAAAGCAACAGTAAAGTTATCATGGAAATTATTTTTCCAGGGAACGGCTACTGAAGAGGTGAAGACTATAGTAGAATACGAGACTGGACAAATGTTTTCTGTATAC